TTTCTTTTATTTTTGATTTTATTGATTTTGGTTTTGTTTGTTTACTGATAAATAAACTAGTGCCTTGAATAATAACTCTGAAAAACCTTCTGCTACCTAAAAATTTGCAGATTAATAAAGAACCGCTCGTAATAGTATCTTCTTTCAAGACTTGTTTTTCTTTTTTGCTAGATATTGTCTCAGCTTCTTTGTTAAGTTCTGAGTTTAGCATATTTTTTTTATTTTCTTTAAAATTTTTTCATTAGTTAGAGAAGACATTTTTTTTGTTTTTTTGTATTTTTTGTTATTAGATATTCTTTGAAGTGCCTTTTCCTTGGAGCAAAGGCAGAAGTCCTTGTCTCAATAAGTTCTTTAGTCTTTTCTTTTTTGTCATTAGTATGTATTTTGATAAAAGTTATTTACTCTATCCCAGAACTTATGTGTTCAGGAGAGAGTGTACATCGATCATTTTTTATTGTCTAATTTAAGTAGTTCGCTATACAGATAAATTACCTGTTTGGTTCTACACAAGCTGCCATACCTGTAACCCACTTGTGAGTTATCTATTTAAACACTCTGTTTACCTAACCAATACTGGAATTAACTAACATCACTGTAACACCTAACCACTTAAGCCAGCTAGCTCATTGCAGATCCATTTATCTAACTCAGCTTAGGTCCTCTCAGGATGCGTAGTGCTCAACATATTGTGGCATGCAGAGCTTCAGTTAACCTCATAAGCAATCCTACTAGAGTGGTCCATGCTCATTTTACAGATTCACCTAGATTAGACCCTTGCAGATATTTGTATAACCCCAGTTCCTACTGTGGCACTCAATCAGATTTCTGTGTCTATCTTCTCGGATGTTTCATGAGACAGATTCTCCCAATTTAGTTAGCTGCTAAGCCAAGTTGGTGTTACTGATCCTCTCTGTGGAATAGATTTATGCGCACCTGACTCAATCAGCATCTTTTGATGATAGTTTCTTTTCTAGATCAAGCATTAGCCAGTGTGACCATCAAAAGCTATACTACTTCACCAACTCAAGATTTCTACCATGCAGGTCCCCTGCTCATTTATCCTATCAAGATTTATTTATATAATGTTATGCTCTCTGAACATTCTGTCACACTTCCAATATCCGAATGATATTAGTGCAATGTGATTTACAGAGTTACAATCCCAGAAACGAACAGGGTTTACTATAAGTTGAATACAAAGATCTGAGTAATTATTCAAATTCGTTGACAGTAGGATTTGAACCCCAAACCTCTTGCATAGCAGTCTAGCAACCTAACCACTACACTAAGATTGCCAGACCTAATATCCCTATAGTATTAGTTATACCTATATCATTTTTATAAATATAAATACAAGTGAAATTCCTCTGGTTCCCTTAAGGTTCTATAGTTTTTATTCATAATTACCTTTAGATAATAATAGTTTCTTTGATTATTATTCTTTTGTAATTAAATAGTTCTTTATATCCTCTTGTAGTTATTAAAATATCTATATAATAAAATACTATTTAAATTACATTCTTGAAATATAAATAACCTTAAATTTATATCAGTAACCCACTTTAACAATACATCTTGTTAACATTGACAAGTTTACTTGATGTATTAAAACACTTTCTTAAACTAAAGAACTCACCTTTTTCTTTTATTTATTCTTTTGTTTGGTATTTAGTTAGTCATATCTGTGTGATTCTATCTAAATACTTTGGAACATTTCTGCAATTCTGTGTAAATTGTGAACATTATTTAGTTTATTTTTTTGAATTGTCTGCTTAGTGCTTGACAAAATTGGTACTCTCTGTGAGGTAGTTGAATTCTTATGTTTAATTGGAATACTCTGTGTAATTTAATTAATATTCACGATTATTTTCACCAAAACCTAGTAGAAACTTTAAATTTATCTCCTACTTTTGATCTCTTTTTAGATACTTCTTGCACTTTTTGTTATACTCCCACTTCTATTGATTCTTGCTCAAACCAATTTGTTTTCTTTTGGAATTGGTTTTCTTTAAATTCTTCTGCATTTTCTTTTTCTCATATAACTATTGAAACTTTTAATTTATTATTAACTTCTAATTAACAAACTGTTTGAACTATTTACTTTGATCAAATATTTGAAAGCATTAGATTTAATTTCTTTGAAAATAGAGATACACTCATCAATTTAACTTTAAATTGTTAAAATCACACTTAGGACTTTACTATATACCAGGAAATCTTAAATTGTTTCTCTAACTTTGAAAATTATATAACTTCTGATTCTACAACAACTGAATTTAGAGATTTAAGTGATAGTGAATCTGAAACTCAAAACAATATAAATACTAATACAAATAACAACAATATAAACTAACAGCAGGCATTTACCCAAACTATTCAAGCCTTAACAAATTAACTTGCTATTCGAAATAATGTATCTATGCCAATATTTATAGAAGGATTACAGGATCCTATAGAATGGATTGAAGATTTTGAACAGTGTACAACTATTAACTAATATACAAATGAATATAAATTATTGGTTGTAGAAAAGTACTTACAAAATAAAGCTCAAGTCTGGCATACCCATGTTAGTGGAAATGTTGGAACTAACTTCTAATCTTGGTCTAATAATTTAAATCAAAACTTCAAAAATCTTTTCTTAAACAAATTTTGTACTCAAAGAAAACTCTTACAATAGAGAAGTAAATTACAAAATTGAGTTTAAGGACCTTTTAAATCTGTTGACCAGTATGCTTTGGATATTAAATGTCTAATTAAATGTGTTGATTATCAAAATAATTAGGCTGAAAGTAATAAAGTTTATAACTTTACTAAAAAACTTTAATGTAAAATTGCTTTTCAATTAAAACTATACCTTATATTTCACAATAATGTTACTATTGAACAGGCTATTAAAGCAGCTCAACAAATGGAGGAAAATAATATAGCATATCCTGAAGCTTTAAATAGATTTTGTCAACCAAGTATAAACTCTATTCCAGTAACTCAAAACTATAATTCTACTGTATAACAAAGCAATAATAATGCTGACTTAAATCAACTTCTCAATAGACTAATTCAAGCTCTTAGAACTATTAATTTAAATAATACAAACCAATTTCCTAATAATTATAGAGGTCCTAATAATCAAAATCATTAAAATAATTATCAGCTTAGAAATAATAACTATGATAATAATAATAATAATAGACATCGTAATCAACAAAATATACCTACTTGTTATAAATACAGACAACAAGGATATATTTCTTGGCATTGTTATTTGAATAATAACAATATTCAAAATAATCAAGTACAAAATATCCCACAAAATATGCTAGGAATAAACCAACCCAATCTTCAACCACAAGTTCAAATAGCTCAACAACAAATACCTCAGACTCAACAAACCCAAAATCCTGTTAATAATACCATTCCTAACTAACATAATTTTGCTCAATTGAATCAACTCTAACAATGTCAACCTGATAACCAAATATTTGTATTAATCAATAAACAAGTTAATATACAACCTGAACAAAATATTTTTCTATCAGAGTATTTAAACTACTAAGCACACCCTTAGAAGATAGGAGTATATCTTTTAATAAAAACCCCTCATTTATAAGAGAAGAAGTGGATAAGTTGAATCAAGCCTATAGAAAGAAAAGAAGAACTGAAGCTGATAAAATAGATACTGACCAACCAGAACAGTTAAATAGAACAATTGAAAAACATAAGGAAAAGGTTATAACTAGTAAATCTTCTGAAAGCAAAAAGGTTAAAAGAAAGTTAGCATTCTCTGAGAAACCTCTAATTGAACAAAAGACAATACCATATTCTATTGTATCTGATCTATTATATTCTAGATCAAATATAACAATTGCTCAGCTTTTAACTATTCCTCAGTATAAGAATAAGTTAAGAAAATCTTTAATTCCCAAATGAGCAAAAATATTAATTAAAAGAAATATAGAAAAACAAACTGTTCTTGGCAAAACTACCTCTAGAAATACTCCTATAATTTGTAAAGGACAGGTTTTTGGATGGACTGTAGAAATAATTATTGATAGTAGGTCTTTTTTTTTTTTAACTCTGATACTAACATCTAGAGGCATATGTGATGCTTATTTATTAATTTTTTAACTATTATATTGTAAGAATTTATATAAATTTCTTTTTGTTTTAGAAGGAAACCTCTTCAGGCTTGCTTGCAGAGATTTAACCTCCTTGTTTAACTAAACTCAAAATACCCTATAAGTTTAGATGTTCTCCTCCCCATTAAGCTTTTGTGTATTGACACCATATTTCATAGATAATGTTTATATGCAGCCATGTTACTGTTTTAAAGCTTTCTTTGTTATTTAGATTTGTAGCATTAAAGACTTCTTCTAATGTCTTTAGAGGATGTTCTATAAATTCTTAGCTGCAAAAGCTCACTTTAGCAAGGGCAAAATAATGTACCTCAAAGTAGTATTCAAAGAAGAGTCACAACAGCAATTCTATACTATAGAAGGTTTAAATATCTTCAAGCAAACTATCTTTGGTTATATCCCAATTAACCTCAAACACAGCTTCCTCTCAGTTAAACTGAGAAACATCTCTCTTGGTGATATGAACTAAACTAGCTACTTAATCAAAGAGGCATTTGTTGACTTTGGCATTATTGCATCTATTAAGCCTCTGTTTTTCGAGGAGACTACAGTTTGTTCAGACCAGTGGATTATTACTTTTGAAATCACAGAAGATGCTAACTTAGCCAAAAAACTTCTAAGATCTACCTACGTGAGAGACCATAAGGTTATTACAGAATGGAGAGAAGCCCCCAAAATCTGCTACTACTGTGAGAAAGAGAGACATGTTAAGAAAGATTGCTAGGATCTCAAAGAGGCAATTGCACTTCGTAACCATTACAAAGAGTTAAGATAAGCAAAAAAACTGAACAATAAGACTTCAGAATCTCAAATCAGCTCTAGCCCAAATAATCCTTATACCCAAGAAACCAAAACATCTGAATCTCACTCCCTAACATCTACTCTAAAAGAGTCAACAGGCTCCTCAAACGAACACAACACAATTTCACCAGGTTCCTTTTCAAATACAAAATCTAACAGCAACACTATTGCAAAACCTAATCTAGATTCAGACACAATAGATATGGATTGTAAGCCCCAAGTTCTAGAAAAAGAGTCTACTTCAGCTACATCTAAAAATAAAGCAAAAAACAAGAGACCCTCATATTCAGGAGAAGATACTACTACACAGGATACAAGGATACCTCCTCCGGAAGCAATCTTACACTAAGAGACTTTAACTCTTATTATAAACCTACTTCCTATTATACTGTCTAAGAAACATATTAAAATAGCAACTCTGAACGTGAAAGGCCTTAACAACAAAGCTAAAGCCTACAAAACTTTAATTTTACTTAAATCATATAACCTAGATATAATTGCAATTCAAGAAACTAATTTAAATGATTCTAATACTAGAAACTTCTTAGCTCAACAATAGGGCTTTGACTCTTTCTGGACTTCTAAAACTGCAATACTAGCTAGAAAAAAACATATTAAGATCAAAGAAACAAAATCAACTCTAGAAGACCAAGCAATTCATGCTAAAATATTAGTTAACAATCTAAACCTCTCACTCACAAATGTCTATACTTCTCTAAACCTGAAAGACAAACAAACATTCTTCTTAAACTGGTCATCTCAAATTGATGAAGGCTTTATAAAAATACTTGCTGGAGACTTTAACATTAATCTGAATCTCTAGAAAGATAGAATTAGCCAAGCACTAGTTCAAAATGATTCTTCTAGAGCTTTGCTACAAAACTTAATTACTGAATTTACTGATTCAGCTAACAACTTTGAAAATAAACTATTTATTACTTTTTACCAAAATACGCAGTGTAATTAATGAATGGCAACTCAGCTTGACTACATCTTTATTGATGCAAACTTCAGCTATCTAGAAAGAAAAACTCTAACACATTTTGGCAACTCAGACCACCTTCTTGTAGAATATACAATCCAGTATCAGTCTACACTAACTCAAGCTACAATTTGGAGACTTGACCCAAAGAAACTACTTGACTTTGAAATTAGAGAAAAAATTACTCAAAATCTTCAAAGCTGCAATAATATTAGCAAGTGGGATTTTTACAAATGCATAATTCAATCAATAGTTAGATCAGCTAAGCCTAAAAAGCTTCCAGAAAAGAAAATCCAAATTCTGCAGAATAGGCTATCTAAATTAAACAATAGGATAGCAAATGACCCCAGGCTTACAGACTTCCAAGCTTCCTCAGAAGAAATTAAAGACCAAATTCAAGAGGAGCTTCAACACCTTTCCGAGAAATAGCAAATTAGATCAAATGCCAAATGGATTGAAGAAGAAGAAAAATCAACTAAATTCTTTTTCTCTCGATACAAAATTAGACACTCCTCTTCATGCAGCACCAAGGTTAGAAATCCAAATAACCCTACATCTAACTCTCAACTAGATATTTTGGAATATATCAAAAACTTTTACAAATCTCTTTACAAAGCTGAACAATTGATCTTCAAGCAGCAGAAGAGCTACTCGGAAATGCTCCTCTCATCTCACAAGACCAAAATGATATTCTAGTTAAACCTATCACTGAAGAGGAAATCAGTAACATTATAGATAACCTCTCAAACAACAAATCTCCTGGACCAGATAGGCTTACTTATGAATTTTACAAATCTCTAAAGGACCTTTTACTTTCTTTACTCTCTAAGCTTTTCAACAATGCTTTAACTACAGGACAAATACCTCTCTCATGGAGCAAAAACATAATTACCCTTATTCCTAAAAAATCAAATGATCTAGAAAATATTAGTAACTGGAAACCTATTTCACTTGTTAATAGTGATGCAAAGATTTTTATAAAAATCTTTGCTAATAGACTAAACTTTGTCTGCAGTGACATAATTTCTCCTTGTCAACAAGCTTTTGTTACTAGCAGATCTATTACTGACACAGCTTTGGATATCCTCACAACTCTAAGAAACCAACCTGACCAAACCAAACAAAACTGGCTACTTTTCTCAACCAGCAAAAGGCCTTTGA